GTGTAAAGGGGGTAGCTATTGCAGCAAAACCCAAAAAGGGGAACACCTCAAAGGGAATTGGTAGGTCATGTATTGTGAGCGCAGCTTTTTGCCTGTTCACGCCCTTACGTCACATGACCAGGGACCCAACAAAAAACAATATCTCTTGCTTTGCAGAGATGGGCGTAGCAAATTTGGATACGGAAACGGGGGGGTAGATGTATAAAATTTTTTGTATAGCTTGTGGAGCACTAAGGGAGTCTAGACTCCCACAAAGATACACGGGATAGATGCATACGGAAAGTGCTGCAAGAATGGCTACAATTAGCATAAAAATGCTAGCCGAAGATAGAAAATGCCCTCGCACACGCCCCCGGAACATTGCTGCAATCTGACATAGTTGAAGACTTAGAGCCATCGTGACATAGTATGGCATGAGAATGAGGGGGAAAGTGACAAAAAAAAGAGGGGAAGCCCCCGCAGGCAGTTGGGCTTTAGAGCAAGGTATGAGAAAGAACCCCCAAAGCGGGAATTTCCAGGGGGGGGGGAAAAGTGAGATGCTACTTTTAACAATAAAGGGGGGTAACAAAGGGAAACAAGAGCGAATGTGGGGAAGAGAAAAGGACGGGCAAACGGGGCGGGAAAAAATAAAAATGTTACTAAATCGGTGACCTTTTTAAAAAAGGAAAGGGGTTTGGAGATTGTTAGAGCGTACAATACGAAGGAAAAATTTGGTCATCACCCGATCAAAAAGGATGGAACTTCGTTTCGATAGGGCCTAAAGGGGGAAGAGCGAAAAAAGCCCCAAAGGGCAAAAACGAAACCCTTGGTATGGAGGGGGTTTAAAGGCTAAAAAGAGTGCAAAAGAGGCCCTGAATAAACTGGTCACCATAATAGTTTCGTAAACAGGGCAAATATAGCGAAGCAGAGTTCGACGATCAGCCCCCAGGAAAGATGAGCAAGGTTTTTAAGGGTTAGGGCTTGACAAGTTCCCTTTCAGAGAGGTAATTGGGGTTTCCGGATAACCTACTACAAAGAGAAGGCCTAAAAACCCTACTATCACTTTGGGGATAGGGAGCCATAAAATAAAAAGGATGATGGGAGAGACAGAGCGTTAGTGAAAGAATTTGGAGATTTTTGGGTACGGGAAAAATTTAAACCAGGGGGTGGCCCATGGAAACAGGTCCCCGATGCAGAAAACTGAAATGAAAAGACAGTCAGGCCTGTAAACAATAGCGAAGTCATAAAACTGGTGAGAGAAAAATTTGGGGGGGAAAGAGCAGGGGAAAAATCTTTTTATCCCAAGGAAATGTTGTGCCAGAACACATCCCTGGGGGACCCCTTCACTTGGACAAAGCCCGGGGGGAAAACCATTTTTGACTCGAAAGGGAAGTGGTCTTTTTAAAAAGTTCTAAGGAAGGGGGTAGATTGCCTCGGAGGCCAAGGAGTGGGCTTGGGGACAAAATATTTTACCCCCAAATTGTGTCATATGCCTTCTCAAGGTAAAAAAATAGGGCAATAAGAGTGTTATTTAAAAGGCATTCAACAAAAATTTAGCCTGGATAGGTTGGAAAACACCTATGAAATTTTTTGGTTCTTGTAAGCAAGCCCAACAGGGGAAAAAACCTGGAAAGCAACTTCAAAAGCCCCCCGATTACCCAGCGGGAAAAATCCACTGAAATAGGCAAGATTGACATAAAGAAAATACCAGGAACCCGGGGGAAAGGCACCTACGGACTAGGGGGGTTAGAAAAGTCAACGTGTGGGGCTTTGGAAAAGACGTTAAAAGCAGCGAAGGAATGGGCTTGGGAAAAATGGATTGTAAAGATGGAGGGAGGGAAGAAAAGGGAACAGGGGAATCATGTCCTTTGAAGGTTTAGTCCCCAATATATTTTAAAGGCTTAAAGTGTTTCTGAATTAAAAGATGTATGGGAGACCATATTGGAGGGTAAAGGGGGGTGAGTAAAGATTTGGGACAGTAAAGGACTGTACCAAAGTAGGGGGGACGAAAGAGTGTAGGGACTGGGGTTTACGTGGTGTGGTGTGGGGGGGGGGGGGGGGACAGAAAGGCAGAAACCGGGGTGGGAGAAGAGGGAAAATTGGGAGGGTACGGGGGGTTTGGGAAAGGGATTACGAGGGGGAGGGTCAATCTCCACACCGAAAAAGCCCCAAAGGAAAAAAACTACACAGGATTGGGAAAAGGGAAAGTGTGGAGGGGGAAAAAGGGAAGGAAGGGGCAAAAAAAATTTTACAATGTGAATTTTTTGGACTTTGAGAAGTAGAGGGGGGGATTGGTAAAGGTTCGTAAGGGCTTGTCGAACTGGGGGTTTTGAGAAGGGCGCGAAGAGTGAGAACAGACTTGAGTTGTAGTCGGGCTCAGAGCCAGGACAGCAAAAGGAAATTTGATCCGGGTGGCTATGGGGGGGGTAACAAAAGGGAGGCTGCAGATGGGACCCCAGAAATGGGGGGGCTTTTGAAACACGAGAAAAAAAACACGGGGTCCCCCTTTAGGGGGAGATGAGCAAAAGTCATTGATAAGGGGGACCTTTGCCCTTTTAGGCAACGGAATTTTACGTTTATTTTAAATGACCTGGAACGGCGGGGGTACGAAGGGTGGGTTATTACAATTAAGGGAAAATGGAGGTTGACTGCAAGATTATTAGAATGGTCGTCGGCACCAAAGCTGGGCATTCGGAAATCTGCAATAATTTTGCAGGGTGACCAAAAACCCCAATTTCAAAAATGTTGCGGTGTAGGTATCACCTTTCGAACTTGTAACCCATGTCCGCAACATACAAGGACGGGAGTTCCGGGGGTAAAAGTTAAACGAGCCACATTGCAAGGGTAACATCTCCGCCCCGGCGGAAGGAATAAGTGTTACTTTTACGATTGAATCCCGGGTTCCAGCTGTTCAAGAAAGCATTTCCACATGACTGGAAAATTTTGTTTTACTATGGGGATGGGGGCAAATGACTTTCCACTCAAGAATTTTAGGAAATTTTTTTTCAATAGTGATAGTAGGTTTTTGATATTCAAAGGAAAAAAGATATGAGCTTGGGGACATTTCCCAAGTGCAGGATACCCCTTGAACATGAAAAGAAATATGTCCCCCCAAAATGCCCCTGGAGGCTTTTCCCAAACTATGGTCAGAAGAAGGCAAAAGGGTCGGTTTAAAGTAAAGAAAATTTTGTCCTTGGTGGTCCGAAAATGGCGTGGAGAGGGGGTGCAACGTGCAGTCCCCTTTTTCCCAGTAGAATGGGAAGGTAATAAGGGGCAATCAAAGATTGACGTTTGGGGTTTAGGGGTAGGGGAAGTTTGGGCCGCGTGAACGGGGGGGATTCGAAAAAATTTCCATATCGTAGAGGGGGGAGGGGGGAAGAAGTCAAAGGAGAGCGGAGGCAGACAAATCGAAGGATCAGTTTTTAAACCCCGGTACCCAAGCGGGTGAGGAAATACACCAGAAAAAGGGACGGGGGGATCAGGATTCCGAAAGGGTCTAAGAACAAGGCAGGGCAAATGGGATCGGTTCAAAATGGGGGCCCGGGGGGGAGTGAGTTATGGATTGGGGTTTCCAGGTTAGGTTACTTCTTGCTTTTTGTTTTTAAGAAAAAAACATAAAAAAAAAAGGGGGGGGGAGGGAAAATTCCCAGGGAAATGAAAAAGGGCCGGAAATCCCCTCCGCGCCCCAAAAGGATTTCCCCCTAGTAGCGCGAACAGCTGGAACCAATGCCAACCCCCCCCTTTATGCCAGTAAAACCCTCTCCAGGATGCAACCCCACTCGCCGAGCTACCTCGGTGAGAAAAGGGCCCGGATATCCCCCAAAACATCCTCCTTCGGCGACCACCCCCGAATCCAAAGGTGGGGTTCAGGATACACCCAAAGACACCCAAAAACTACTCCAGGATCCCGGGGAGGACGGACATCCCCCCGGGGATCCCGTTCCACGGAAACTACCCCCTCACCAGAACCCAAAGGAATGGGGTGGACCCCGGTATCCTTTCCCCCCTAGGGAAATAGTGGCCTTTGGGGGGAAACCCCAAAGGACAAAAAGAGGAAGGGGAAAAAAGGGGGGGGTGGAGGAGGAGGAGGGGAGGAGGGGGAGGGGAGGAGAGGAGGAAAGGAAAAAGGGGGGGATGGGATAGGGAGGGGGGGTTGGGGGGGAATTAGGTTCGGTCGAGGAAGGAGACCCCACCGGTCAATTCCCCAGACCAAAACCTCTTCACCACAACAAAGGGCCCCCCTTAAAGGTACATGCTTTCGATTGAAAAAAGTATACATACTTTGGGCCATTTAAGGTTAATACATAACGCTTTCATTTTCAAATTTTCGGGTAAAATTCATTACTCCTTCCCTTGTTGATGATGGCATCTAAAGGGGTTTTTTTTAAACAATTTTAAAATCGGGCATGGCGACGGAATAATATGGGTCTGGGCCAAAATTAATATCGTGTGCAGTAGGGAGGTGTAGGGATGTACCCCGGTGAACTCATACTACATTTTTATTATAACCGAATTTTTACATATGGTACCGCACCCAAGTAAACCACACACTGTGCTGGCATGCAGGTATACATTAAAAACACTAAGATGCTTATTTGTTTTAAAGCGTAAATAATAAACACAATAATAACATTATAAGAGCATTAAAAATTTTTATAAAACATTAATAAACCTTTTGCTTAATCCTCTAAATACACACCCCGTAGAATAAATTAAAAATAGAATTTTTAGCCAGGGGGCGTGTAGGGGTGTGGTAGCCAGGGGGCTTGTAGGGGTTGTGGTAGCCCGGCGGCTTTAGGGGTGGACCAGGCCTTGTAGTAGCCGGCGGGTTCTAGGGTTTTGGGAGCCAGGGGGGTTGTAGGGCTTGTGGAGCCAGGTGGGATTAGGGTTTGTAGCCAGGGGGCTTATGGGGTTGGGTAGCCAGGGGGTTGTAGGGCTTGTGTAGCCAGGGGGCTTGTGGGCTTGTGGTAGCCAGGCGGCTTGTAGGGATTGTGGTAGCCAGGCGGCTTGTAGGGCTTGTGGTAGCCAGGCGGCTTGTAGGGCTTGTGATATCCAGGCGGCTTGTAGGGCTTGTGATATCCAGGCGGCTTGTAGGGCTTGTGGTAGCCAGGCGGCTTGTAGGGCTTGTAGTAGCCAGGCGGCTTGTAATGCTTGTGGTAGCCAGGCAACTTGTAGGGCTTGTGGTAGCCAGGCGACTTGTAGGGCTTGCGGTAGCCAGGCGATTTGCAGGGCTTGCGGTAGCCAGGCGACTTGTAGTCCAACATCAGAGAAAATGTGTCACTATAATATTACTGGGGGTAATCAGAAAATTATTCATTTCACATGCTTTCACTCAGGGTATCATTTCTTCTAAAAAATGGTATTACATGAGAATGGGAGTGTTTATTTATTCTACTGTATCAACGTGGAGACAACTTGTACACAATGTAAAGTGACGAAAACCAGACGTGTTAGCCTGGGTTGTTTACATTATGTGGGTGGGGAGGGCTGCCCTTCCTGGCTACCTATACATCCCTACATTAAGACTACAAATATTTAAAGGTAAGTAATGGGAGTACTGTGTGTGTATTTTACTTTGTTTTTAATGCCTAGTTTTATTGCTAACATAGCATGTGTTAGTGTTAACGTGTTACCTGGCATTTATAAGTGCAAAAAATGGCATTCTGCTTTTTGGCAGTAGCCTGGAACCGAACCTGCAGTGTAAGTGGGGCCCTACTGTGTATCTCACTACTAAGTACTCATGCTTTTTAAAGAGCAAAAGAGACTGATAACTGAATGATTACTGGAATAAGGGGGGTGAACAGTAGAGCGGCCCTTACGAAGCCAAAGTGACAAGTGGACAAACTCTCGTGTCTCTATAAATACCACGCTCCAGATCTATTTACTAGATGTTCCATCAACTTGCAAACTGCACTGATAAAAGCAATGGGTTGACAGTGGAAGGCATCAGGGTCTTAAGTACGTGGTTTAGAAAAAGGTGGAGCCACAATATTTTCCATGGATAGGGAAGACCCCTGTGGCTTAAGATTAAAGAGACGCAAAGGAACTATGAGGGCTGACAGATGTAAATGTTGAAGCATACTAATGTGAATGCCATCAGGTCCAGCTGCTGATGAGCAGCAAGTGGAAAGTGTTGACTCAAGTTCTGTAAGTGTAAACAGCACGTTATAAGACTGCTAGAACAGTAAAGGCAGCAACTCTCTGGCAGACTTGGATTAATAGCGTGCAATGCAAACCAACTAAAAATTTGGTCTCAAATAGGACAAAGTGTGTGAAATTACCCTCATGTAAACGGTGCCAAGAACACTAATTTTGCAATGGTATAATTTTTTATCTTTTTTCATAACAATACTTGTGTTAAGGAAAAGATTTACTACCATTTCAGAAAAGAATATAAATTTTGGGAGTCTGGACAGTGAAAGTATTAAGGTTTCTTCATTGTTTCTGAACAAAAGGAACCAATGACGTAAAATGAATGACACGAGAGAAAAAAAGTCAAAGCAAGTGAATCTTTCATGTTAAGAGGAGACTTACCATTAATAAAAATATATGGGCACTGCATTTCATCTTCAATATCCTAAAATACACAGTACAGTATAAACATCTGCCTTTCTACCAAATAATTATCTTCATATTTATTACAATCAGAAAATACAGCCATTGAATGTTTCATTAATTTCAATCGGTAATTCCATTATCATCATAAAGGCTAGCAATACAGCTTGAAGATTTATTTGACTTTTTATATTTTATTTTATACTTCAATGTTGAGTAGAGACTTACCACTAGTGTAGACAGCTACTGTTGCCCTTCCTCTTCTTTAATCTCTGTTCTGTAAAATACACAGTATAATTTACATCTGCCTTTCAACCAAATAATTATCTTCATATTTATTACAATCAGACAAAATACAGCCATTGAATGTTTCATTAATTTCAATCGGTAATTCCATTATCATCATAAAGGCTTGCAATAAAGTTTAGAGATTAATTTAACTTCTTCTATTTTTTTTTTATACATCTTCAATGTTGAGGTGAGACTTAGTATTAGTGTAGACAGTTACTGTTGCTCTTCCTCATAAAACCTTGTCCTGCAAAATACACAGTATAAATACTATATGCCTTTCTACCAAATAATTATCTCATATTTATTGCAATCAGACAAAATTCAGCCAGTGAGTGTTTCATTAATGTTAATCAGTAATTCCATTATCATCAAAGGTTTCAACAAGGCTTTAGATTTATATGACGACTTTAAGAGTTCAAGTCAAATGATTACAGTATAAACTGAACAATTATTTTTTTATTATTATCACACTGGCCGATTCCCACCAAGGCAGTGTGGCCCGAAAAAGAAAAACTTTCACCATCATTCACTCCATCACTGTCTTGCCAGAAGGGTGCTTTACACTACAGCTTTTAAACTGCAACATTAACACCCCTCCTTCAGAGTGCAGGCACTGTACTTCCTATCTCCAGGGCTCAAGTCCGGCCTGCCGGCTTCCCTGAATCCCTTCACAAATGTTACTCTGCTCACACTCCAACAGCACGTCAAGTATTAAAAACCATTTGTCTCCATTCACTCCTATCAAACACGCTCACGCATGCCTGCTGGAAGTCCAAGCCCCTTGCACACAAAACTTCCTTTACCCCCTCCCTCCAACCTTTCCTAGGCCGACCCCTACCCCGCCTTCCTTCCATTACAGACTGATACACTCTTGAAGTCATTCTGTTTCGCTCCATTCTCTCTACATGTCCGAACCACCTCAACAACCCTTCCTCAGCCCTCTGGACAACAGTTTTGGTAATCCCGCACCTCCTCCTAACTTCCAAACTACGAATTCTCTGCATTATATTCACACCACACATTGCCCTCAGACATGACATCTCCACTGCTTCCAGCCTTCTCCTTGCTGCAACATTCATCACCCATGCTTCACACCCATATAAGAGCGTTGGTAAAACTATACTCTCATACATTCCCCTCTTTGCCTCCAAGGACAAAGTTCTTTGTCTCCACAGACTACTAAGTGCACCACTCACCCTTTTCCCCTCATCAATTCTATGATTCACCTAAAAAATATATTTTGAAATTTGAGTAACCTACACAATACAATATTCTTCATATTATTACCTGCAAAAGTATATTTTAAGTTTGTTAAATCTATTTAAATTATATGTCTTAGGCCAATGTACATGGGCAAGGTCCTGTGAATACTTAAAAATGTCACGGCAGAAATTTGCCCCTTCCTGCATCGAGTGCAGGGTTATTTTTTGGTCACTTGTAATGAGAGAGTGGGTGAGATGTTATCAACAAATTTTGTTGAAAATAAGAAAAAGTTTGGGAGTGAGATAACAAGTTAAGGAAGCCTAGAGAACAAATGGATTTGTCAGTTAAAAATAGGAGAGGAGAGTTATTAAATGGAGAGTTAGAAGTATTGGGAAGATGGAAGAATATTCTTAGAAATTGTTAAATGTTGATGAAGATAGGGAAGCTGTGATTTCGTGTATAGGGCAAGGAGGAATAACATCTTGTAGGAGTGAGGAAGAGCCAGTTGCGAGTGTGGGGGAATTCGTGAGGCAGTAGGTAAAATGAAAGGGGTTAAGGCAGCGGGATTGATGGGATCAAGATAGAAATGTTAAAAGCAGGTGGGGATATAGTTTTGGAGTGGTTGGTGCAATATATTAATAAATGTATGGAAGAGGTAAGGCACCTAGGGATTGGCAGAGCATGCATAGTTCCTTTGTATAAAGGCAAAGGGACAAAAGAGTGCAAAAATTATAGGGGGATAAATCTGTTGAGTATACCTGGTAAAGTGTATGTACTTATTATTGAAAGAATTAAGAGATAAGACGGAGAATAGGATAGTAGAATGAACAAGGAGGCCTTAGGAAAGGCAGGGGTGTGTGGACCAGTGTTTACAGTGAAACATAAGTGAACAGTATTTAGATAAGGCTAAAGAGGTTTTTGTGGCAGTTATGGATTTGGAAATTGCGTATGACAGGGTAGATAGGGGGGCAATGTGGCAGATGTTGCAGGTGTATGCTGTAGGAGGTAGGTTACTGAAAGCAGTGAAGAGTTTTTACGAGGATAGTGAGGCTCAAGTTAGAGTATGTAGGAAAGAGGGAAATTATTTCCCAGTAAAAGTAGGCCTTAGACAAGGATGTGTGACGTCACCATGGTTGTTTAATATATTTATAGATGGGGTTGTAAGAGAAGAAGTAAATGCGAGGGTCTTGGCAAGAGGCGTGGAGATAAAAGATAAAGAATCACACGAAGTGGGAGTTGTCACAGTTGCTCTTTGCTGATGACACGGTGCTCTTGGGAGATTCTGAAGAGAAGTTGCGGAGGTTCGTGGATGAATTTGGTAGGGTATGCAAAAGAAAATTAAAAGTGAATACAGGAAAGAGTAAGGTTATGAGGATATCAAAAAGATTAGGTGATGAAAGATTGGATATCAGATTGGAGGGAGAGTATGGAGGAGGTGAATGTATTCAGATATTTGGGAGTGGACGTGTCAGCGGATGGGTCTATGAAAGACGAGGTGAATCATAGAATTGATGAGGGGAAAAGGGTGAGCGGTGCACTTAGGAGTCTCTGGAGACAAAGAGGGGAATGTATGAGAGTATAGTTTTACCAACACTCTTATATGGGTGTGAAGCATGGGTGATGATGTTGCAGCGAGGAGAAGGCTGGAGGCAGTGGAGATGTCATGTCTGAGGGCAATGTGTGGTGTGAATATAATGCAGAGAATTCGTAGTTTGGAAGTTAGCAGGAGGTGCGGGATTACCAAAACTGTTGTCCAGAGGGCTGAGGAAGGGTTGCTGAGGTGGTTAGGTCATGTAGAGAGAATGGAGCAAAACAGAATGACTTCAAGAGTGAATCAGTCTGTAGTGGAAGGCAGGCGGGGTAGGGATCGGCCTAGGAAAGGTTGGAGGGATGGGGTAAAGGTTTTGTGTGTGAGGAGCTTGGACTTCCAGCAGGCATGATAAGAGTGAATGGAGACAAATGGGTTTTTAATACTTGACGTGCTGTTGGAGTGCAAGCAAAGTAACATTTATGAACGGATTCAGGGAAACCGGCAGGCCGGACTCGAGTCCTGGAGATGGGAAGTACAGTGCCTGCACTCTGAAGGAGGGGTGTTAATGTTGCAGTTTAAAAACTGTAGTGTAAAGCCCCCTGCTGGCAAGACAGTGATGGAGTGAATGATGGTGAAAGTTTTTCTTTTTCGGGCCACCCTGCCTTGGTGGGAATCGGCCAGTGTGTTAATAAAAAAAAAAAAATTTTAAGTTTAAGGGTTAAATTCTAGTAGCCACTTAAAACAATACATGAAATCTTTCCTTGTCATTCTGTCTGAAAATAGGAACACCTCTGATACATCTTTCATAAATTGAAGAAATAGTACCAGTCTTAGTACTGAGGCACTGAAATTTACCCCTCATCTTACGTCTGGTGTCAAGCAAAACACTATTATTTGTAAGATAATACCCCCCCCACCGCATCTTTTGGCTGGTAATATACAGTACTCTCGTCACATCAGCAGAAACCAAGTAAATGCTCTGCACCACACAATTTGTGCCAGTAAATCAGCAATCCAGGATGGCAACCTTGAATTCACTGAGCTACTTCGGCTGACAAAACAGAAGGGTGACCGGACACGCGCCATGAGTCATACTCCCTCCCTTTGGATGCCACTTGGGAGTGACATGCAGCCTCCAAAGATACTGTCACCCAAGTGTGCGCATGGAGACTCCAGAGGGAGACCAAACACATTCAAAGATAACCCAATTCATAGGGAAAACACCACCACTGAAGGTCTGAATGGAATGGGATGGACAAAAATCCATTTCTTCTAAACAAGTAGAATATCCCCAAAGGCCGAATGGACAGGCCACTGAGGTTTGTTCCGAGGAAGAAGACTTGAGGCTGAATTACCTTTTATAAGAGCCTCTTCGCCCCAAAAAGGGATACCCGCTTAAAAGGAAGCTGAAATATGAAACGGTAGCTGCTTAGAACTTAATCTATATACAAATGCACAATTAAACACACTACTGACCAGTATCAATAATTAATCAGGAATCATGGGACCAACAAATATTTACCTTCATGATAGATCTCTAAGGGTAGTTCTCAATGGAACAGAATCAGCAAGACATCCTACTGGGTCAAGTATTCCACAAGGAAGTGTCCTGGAACTATTGTTATGGAATGTCTACTTCAATGACCCACTGCATGTCATCCCAGAACCCCATGCATATCAGATTCTGTACTCTGACATTTACTTATCCAAGAGAAGAAATGCCAGCTGCTCTAAGCCACATCAATCGCCAGCTAAGAGCTATATCAGCTTGGGGAAACAGATGTCAAGTAACATTTGCACCTGAGAAAACACAAATGATGGTCCCTAGGCACCATGATGGTAATGCTGGTGTAGTAGTAAGTATGAATGGGAGGGTGTTGTTACCTGGGTAAGAAGGCAGCCAGGAAGCTTACAGCACTTCACCGTATCTCGCATCTGCCTGTCAGCAGGGTTTTCAAGATTCTGTACGAAGCACAAGTACGCTCACAATCTTGAGTATGCTCCACTTTCTTCGTTTGCCTCCGCCCCCCACCACCTGAGACTGCTTGACAGAGAACAGAGCAAGATGTCTCGTCTCTCGCCTGGACCCTTCCTGGATAGAGCTGTCATTTCAGCAGAGCCTTCAACACAGGAGGGATGTTGGTGGCCTTAGTGTTATATAGAAGGCCAAAATTGTCAAAATATCACACTTGGATCTCGTTATGCACTGCATGTGGCAGGATTTTTATTATACTGCACACACTGACCATGCAGATCTGTTCTTTCACATGTAGGTCTACCAGCTTTCTCTTGCTAGATTTGAAACCGCTAGAATTTTGGTGTAATAATACGGCACCAACACCGGCTTGCAAGCCATACTAATATGACATTGAAATTGAAAAGGTTAAGATGTTCTGCAAAGTCCATCAATCAGAAGGCTAAATCCACTGCATATGTATTTTCTCCGGTAGAACATGGGTGCCTGAATCCAACATGTTTTCCTTTAAACAAACATCCCCCCCCCTCCCCACATTAGTTTGTAACACCAGAGGTATCTATTACTAAAGGTATAAACTTACTTAAAAACTTTGTTGCTCATTCAGCATGTATCCATCATCAGAAATACAAAACAGTGGCTGGTTAGAATTTAATTCAATTTACAAATACACAATCATGAACACTATTGATCAGTATCAATAATTAATCAGGAATCATGGGACTAACAGATTGTATTTCATAGCATCATTGTAACTAATTTTTTTTTTCAAGTTTTTAATTAATATTTAAAAATTTCCAGCTGTGAGTAAATGCAGTCAAGTACACTTTTGAAAGAAAATATATCGGATGTTTTTTTTTTTTACAGAACTTTGTAAGTAGCTCTAATATCTATAACAACAGATTTGCCTCCACCACTTCCTTATCCAATATGAAGATTTCGTTACTGTCTGTCAACTAAATTAACTAATAATGTACACCGACAATATTCAAAATTAAGTGCAAATTTGTTAAAACTCTCGATTGCATTTGCACCAGATTTCATAATACAGAAGAGTTTCATAAGAGATGATTGTATTCAATTTAAAACTCAATAAAGTAACTACAGCATTCATGTTGAGAATAG